GAATATGTTGCCGCCGGTAGTTGTTGTGCTCAAACCCTTTGGATGAAGCAACAACTTGTGGATTATGGCCTTAGTATCGATCACGTCCCTCTTCGATGTGATAATACTAGTGCTATAAGCTTGACGAAGAATCCGGTTCTTCACTCAAGGACGAAACATATTGACATTAGGCATCATTTCATTAGAGATCATGTTCTCAAAGGTGATGTCGAAATTGAGTTCATTGAAACACACAACCAATTAGCCGACATTTTCACAAAACCTTTAGAGAAAGAGTCGTTCTTCCGCATTCGTAGTGAATTCGGAATCCTTGACTCCACGATGATCTAAATTGTGCATTAATTATTATTTTTGGTCCCTACTAACTTGAACGTCGGAGACGTTTTTAATTCTTTTTGCAGGGCTCTTTTTTTTATTTTCAGATGTCAAAGTCAGGGGGAACAAAAGAAATCGATTTCTAGTTCCCAGGACTGAGTGTAAATCGATTTACAGGCTTGTGATAATCGACTATCACAACCCACAGAAGTTGGAGCAAAGAAACTGAAGGAGCCAACAATCGATTATCAACATTGATATAATCGATTATCTAAGCCTGCAGGAGTTTGAGGAAACTTAGCTGGAGACATCAACAATCGATTTACAAAAAACATGTAAATCGACTATTAAAGCCTTCAGAAATTTGAGGCAAATCCTCTCCAACAATCGATTTACAACCAAGGCAGAAATCGATTATTGAAGCCTGCAGTTTCTTTGGCGAAGAATCTGAAGCCTCAGATAATCGATTTACAGGGAGTGTGAATCGATTATCAACGACGATTTTTTAAAAATCTGACCGTTGCAGAGACGTTTGGAGAGCAATTAATGCATGTTTTGAACTCCCCAACGGATCTCCAGCCCGCTCCCTTATAAATTGGTGATCTCTATTCATTTTATACTCACTCAAATCATACTTTCTCCAAATATTCATCATAATTCATCATTCTTGCTCCTATTCTTCATTTTCTTTCCAAATTTCTGCAATTTTCTCTTTGCCTTGCTCTGCCCCCTACTCTTTGTTGATATGGCAGGAGGTCAAAGAAAAAGATCCCGCACCGGCAAGAACGTGGCTTCTTCTTCGGCTCCTCCATCACCGGCGCACAAGTACCTCGACGGGTCATTCCTTTGGTTCAACGACCACGCAGAGGCGACGCGGTTCTCGGAGAAATTTGAGCATCGGGAAATTCTCCCTCCCCGATTCTCCACCGCCCGCTTCATTCATGACTCCATTCCACGTGAGGCACGGGTTATCCTCGAACGTGGAAACTTCCTCGACCTCCTCTACATCAAGAAGGTCAATTATCACCCCTTTCTTGTTCGAGCTTTCTACTCGAACTTGAAAAAGGATGAGGACGGAGCGTTGATCTCTAACGTCAACGGAGTGGACATCTATTTGAATGAGGAAAGCATTCAAATTCTCACAGGGCTTCGTCGGGACGGACAGGATCTCGGGCTCTACGTCGGAGAAGAAGGAGCGCGGTTCAATGAGACCATTCTCTTGGAGGAAGTGGGCATCCGACACTTCGTACCCACTCCCCAACAGCGGCGCCCTACGATTGCTTCCATGAGTCCCGTGTTTCGATTCATTTTTTATGTTTTGACACGGATTCTCAAGCCTAGGAAGTTCAATCACACCACTCTCTCCCAGGAGGACACGAAGACAATTCATGCGATGATTCACAACGCCAATCTCAATTGGTGTAAATTTGTGATGACTCACATGTTCACGGCCACCTCCGACAATCGGCCGCTCCCCTACGCCCTCCTTGTCATGGCGATTCTTGAAGAATACAACATCAAAACCGATGTTGGGCCAAAGATAAAGGGGACAAAGCATTGGGAGATTGATGAATCCTCTTTCCACTCGGGCACCGACGAGACTCCGTTTCGACAACATCGTCCACGCCGCCAACCGAGAGCCACTGCCTCAGCCGCCACCACTTCGACCAATCCTTCTCTCGCCGAGCAAATGGCAGCCTTAACCGCCACTCTCTCTCGGATTGACACCAATGTCTCCAAAACGGCACACAACGTCAATACCTTGAGCCGTGAACTTCACGGGTATTTTGACTTTGTCAATTACCCGTACGCTCAAATGGTCCCTTACGTTCCTCCACCGAATTTCGGAGGTGAACAAAGTGGGACTCAAAACGTTGGTAGAGATGACGAGGTGGACGATGAGGAAGAGGAAGAAGAAGAGGAAGAAGATGATGATGATGATGATGATGATGGCGATGGTGATGAAGATGAAGAAGAAGAAGAAGACATTGACGAAGAACAACTTCTCAATGATCTTTCCCCTGATTTCTAGAGCTCTAGCTCTACTTTCTTCTCTTCCTTATTTTATCATCTTTTAATATGCTTTCGTTATGTACTCCGCTATTTCCCTTAATTAATTAATAAAAAATCTTTATGATCTTTGTTGTTAACAATCTTTTTGTTAATGTCAAAAGGGGAAGATAAGGGCTATGCATATATTAAGGGGATTTTTTTTTTCAAAAAGATCGAAACCCAATGCATATCCCCGTCTTGTTTGCCATTATCAAAAAGGGGGAAATTGTTGGAACACACTTTGTACGATAAACTAAAGTCGTGTTCATTTCTGACAGGTTTTGATAATTGCCAAACCGCCGTGGATATAAAGAGTTTCGTTGAATAACTCAAGGCGTGAAGAATGGATTGGAACAAGACCTAAAAGACTCAAGGACAAGATCAAGAATTGAAGACTTAGTCGAGTCGGTCTTTTGTGATCAAAACCGACAATAAATTCAAGTCTCGGTTCTCAAAAAGTCAAAACAATTTTTACAAATCACAAAATATTTCTTGTGCATCAAAACAAACATTTTTTTTGATGATTCCTTTTATTGTTAAAATCCATGGTCCTTGCTCAGAACCAAAACCACCTAAGTCGGCGTTCGGCTTTCGACGTTCGGCTTTCGGCGTTCGGTTTTTGGCACCCGAACCAACTCCGTGGTTTTCAATTTTTTAAACCCTGTTTTTACCTCTGAGCATTTTTAAAATGTTCCCAAATAATTATTTTATAAAAACCACTTTTGTATCTTGGTCAATCGGTCTAACACGTGAAAAACGGTCTAAACCGTACGTACGTATTATACGACCTTGGAGACTTGGTTTTTACCAAACAAGTCTTGTTTTCACTATTTAATACCATATACAATATTTTCCAAACCTGGTTTTTACTTTTGGGAACACTTCATTTTTGGACCTCGGTTTTTCAAAACGGGTTTCAGCTGGCTAGACTTTAGCTGGGTGATAATCGATTATCACCTTAGTGACAATCGACTATCAGCCCCTGCAGCTTTGAACTTCCAAAGTTCTGAAGCACGCAATAATCGATTATCAGCTTTGCAATAATCGATTATCAGTCTTTGCAGCCAAAACCCAGAATCTTCTGAGAGGACCAATAATCGATTATCACTTGTTGACAATCGATTATCTGGGTTACCGTTGTCCTCCAACGGATAGAATTTTAAATTTTTG